GTAAAAAAACAAAAAAAAAAAAGTATTTCATTTATATAATTTAAAACATTTACCATTCACAAAGCATGTTAGAAAGGAAATACATACACAGTAAATAAAAGCCTACAAAACATTTTAACAATGTGATCGTAAAAGGAAAAGGAAACATTTCCACTGAGTAGCAATAAATAACATGACAGCCACTTGTGAAGATCAAGCCTCTGAAAAAGGAACATCTCAGTGGTTGTCTAGTCTGATGTGTAGCAGAATTAAATGGGTATTAATGTTCATTATGTTATTCTGTGATTAGATTACTTACATCAAGAAAGCTAACATCAATATGCAGATCAATATCTACATCATCAATGGCTCCATATTCCCTGAAAGGAAAGAATTACATTACATTAGAGCTCTTTAAGACACTCCTCAGCCCAGGAGTACTTACAACAGGGAAGATTTTATAAAGGATAATCTTGTCTGTAAAATCAGAATGGTTATAAAGTACACATTTACATAGATTGGATCAATATTCCCAGTGGGTGACCATCTGCTGCACTGAAACTTTCTTTCAGTGGATCTTGCTTAAACAGGCTAAATCTCTTTTTCTACTAATTCTCTCAAATTCTCTCTCCATTGCTGCTACCTAGTTTTGCCTCATATATTGCACAAATAAATCAAGAAAACAATCATAGTCACATGCTGCTCCCATTTCTGACAAAAGAAAACCCTAGTTAATTTTCACAAGTATTTCAGGTTAACAGCCAGTAACCCAAGGATAAATCACTGAAGACAACTACAACATAGCCTAGAGGGTGGCATATTATACCTGTGGGATTGCTTCATACATTCAAGCATTTGTTTGTCAAAACATAAAGATTGCCCTGTAATGCACCCAGGGAAATAGTTACCTTATTTTATCTGTTATGTGTAGTATTGCGGGAATCTCCAAGGTTTAGATTTAACTTAGGCTCACAGGTGTTTCATTACCATCTGAAATCTTACATTTCAAGAGTAACTTTCCTGCCTCTTGCTTTCTGACTCATTCTTATCGCCCTGCCCTAACGTACTTGAAGACTTCTGAAAAATAGGGCTAGAAAATACTCATTCATACACCTAAATAAAAAATTGCTTTCCTTTTCATTTAAATTACTTAAGTGGACAATCCCGTAAAAGTGCAATCACTCTCAATTTTTCACAGACTAGAGTCTAGTCACTAGTTTTTTTTCTTTACGCTGCATTTATATCCTTGTTCTTACAGTGACTTCCACGCTCTTCTATTAAACTAGACTAAGACAGTGCACAGTAGCAGTTTTGCATAAATAAGTCGACAGGGTAATTTTGAAATACAAAAATATTTTTGTGAATATACGTATCCCCTGCCAAAGTGGCCTCTCAGCCCATGGTAGGACCTAGCTCACACTGGAAATGCCTTGACCTCTGTGAAGTCTGGCGGAGGTAACCCCTTCCACCAAACCTCAGCATCCCAATGGTTCTCTCTCATAAGGGCAAACCCCAAGTCTCTCTCTAGATCAGATGCATCCACACATGGCACACACAGGGCAGGTCAATGGCTGGCCAGGGCTGTGTTAGCTTGAGGCTTCCCAGCCACCTTGGCAGCTGCTTCAGGGTCTGCTCACCCAGGCTACGGGTACAGGTGCTTGCTGACCTCCTACAGCTCACTGAAGACCTGGCTTTGAAATGGTGAAATTGTCCACCTACTGAATGGCTTAAACCACTGTCCTACTGAACAGTAGCCTCAGATTTTTTTTTTGTTAATTTTCCAGACGATCTAAAGAACAGATTGTTATGAACTCTTAAGTAATATTTATGAACGCAGGCTGGTGTTACTCACATGCCAGAGATTCAAAAGGCGGTCAACAAGCACAATTTTATGAATTAAACAGAAACCTAGTTGAACTAATGAAACACAGAAATATTAGTGGAAGAAGGTATAAGGTAAAAATAAGTTATAACTGTGGAATTTCCATACTCACTGAAAACCCTTTGCCCCCCATTCCACTACCATCACAGAATGGTAACACATGACGCTGACTGTAGTTTTACTTCCCCAAGCTGAAAGGGGGGGAAGAAATCATGTTTTCTTCCAACACCTGCAGCTTATGGTCTGCTGTCTACAATGGTTTCATGAACACATCTTGATTTTGAAGCTCCCAGAGGTCCTCTGTCCATCAATGCACAAGCAATGTCAATAGAAGCTGAAAAGTTTGGATCAGTTGGTCCAGAGGTCTTTCTCATGGCTTTGGTGGCCAGATTTCAGAGAGCAGAGGTGAAAAGCATGCAGGTATAGGTATTTCACTTTTACATGTACAGTTGACTCTGTGACAGCAAGAGACTACTAAAAGAGAGTAAACCGTCTAGGAAATATGCATCTTAGTGGTGTCACTGTCAGACAAACTTCTCTCTCCACAGAGAAGTGGAGCTGCAGGAAAGGGATGAAACTGAATGCTTAATGCTGTGTTTGTCATTTCCAAGAATTTATGAGTTTTTTCAACCACAACAGAGTGGAAGAAGTAATAAAGTTTTCCACATGCCAAAAGCATCCACAGATGCCAATTTCTACTACTTGTCATCAAGATCACAATGCTTCCAATGAAACAGTTGATTCAATAAATTAGATGCATTACAGTTTTTGAAAGGTCACATATAATGTTTCAATTTTAGGAGCTTGAAGGTGCCTATTATCAAAGTATTCTCAATTTCATAGTTATCAGTTTGGCAATTCAACATTTATGTCATTCATTTCCTAACCCCATATACAACTATTCAGATTTCAATTCCTCAGGTCCTTGAAATGTAATGAAATTTCCACTTAATTTGAAAAGGTATAGTACACCATAGTTGTAGATATGCTTTCTCTTCTTGGATAAAAATAACAGAGCTTATTGTTTAGAGGTTAACAGGAATTGTTACTTGCAATATATGTATGCCTAAGGTTATTATCCTCTCTGTGTTTTATTACTTGATTTGTATGACAACTTTGATATTTTCTTTGTAATACATCTGACAGGTTTGTTACATCTTGCCTACCTGTTATTTCTATGAAATTATTAAGATTGCATAGATGGAAAATGAAGTTATAAAAGACCTGAAGCGTATTAAAAACAGCTATGTCCTATGGTGGAATCATGCATGCTTATATATGCCCAACAGAATTTTCTGTAATTACACTTTGCAATTTGCCTCTGACTGAGGTTCCACCACTTCCCTCTGTAGGATACTTTAGACTCCCACAATTAAAAAGTTTTCATAAAATCTAATCAAATTCTTGTTTGTTGCTAACACAGCTAGTTTCTTATTGTCTCTCTCATGATGACAACAGAGAACATTTGATCACTCCTCTTATCTACAAACAACTTTTTTTGGAGGAACTGTTATGATGTCTTCTCTTCTTATTTCCAGGCTAGACAAATCCAATTCCTTTAGTTTTTCCCTAGGAAAACCATTTAGTAAATCTCTTACCATTACTCTTGTTCACCTCCAGAGCAAAAGACAGAATACGACAGAAAAGGAGTTTAACAAGGGTTTAGAGTAATGCTGAATTGTAATTTTCAACAAAATAGAACAACGTAATCAAATACCAACTGAACTGCAAAAGACAATGATGTTTTAGAACAGGATTCCAGGGCTTGTTCTCAGCACAGACAGTTGCATCAATACTCAACCACAAAAAACAAACAAACAAACAAACAAACCGGCATTACTGCTAGGCCAGCAGTGCTCCTTCCTTTTGCCACACAATATGCACACACCACTAGAAGAGACTTGTGCTTTGGCAGTGAGGGATTGCCCACATGGAACTCAATCTCCAAAACACTACAGGTTCCACAATACAGAAAAGCCAATGACGTACCTGAGAGATACTGCATTAGGTCCATAGATCTCTCTCACTGCTGTCAAATCAGCCTCCAGCTGTGGGTGCTTGTGAAGTTCTCCATCATAGCTAACCTACCAGGAAAAAAAAAGCATTCTAGTTCTTATTTATTTCATTACTGGCACCTGACCTAGGCTCTTGAAAGTTCCCCCTGCTGCATAAAGATTCCTTAATGCCACGCTCAGAATGGACACTGTGTTGACAAGCTGAAGCACTGAGATGGTCTAGCTCTGCTAAGCAATGAGATTTGCAAAGCAGGCACCTCTGCACTGACATTTTTTGAGGGTCTCACTCCTGTTTGTGGGAAGAGAAGTTGCAAAGGACTCATCCCTCTGTCCTGTCTTGTCCTGGAGTTCTTTCTGGGACACACGTGCTTTTTAAAACTGTTAAGCAGGAGAAGAACAAGATCCCCCCAGTCATATCATCCCATTTCAACCACTACAGGACAAAGGCTTGCTCCCTCTTGCTTATGGTCCCATTCTCATATATATTAGACACAGAATGGCTTGGGCTCAACAAGAGGAGCACGAAACTATTCTATGTACCAAGTGTATCAGCATTTAAACTACATTTTCAGTCTACTGATATGGGCTCTATTCTATCCACCAGGGCAATGTTATCAGAAAAAAAAAAGAAAAAAAAAGTAAAGAACACTTTCCCATTTTAAGTATTTTACCAGAGAAGGTGTAAAGAAACATGTATTCACATATCAACCCTGGTTTTTTAAAACTCTATATGAAAAACGGAAACACTTATGTTACTGCTTACACTATAAAGCAAAATGTGAGCTGGTTTGGTTGGACTGCATGAAGTCAAAATAATTAATATCCTCCGATCTTCCACAAGGACCGAAATATTTCTGTAGGCTTGTAACAATCTATTCACAGTCTATTACTACCTTCTCATTAAGCAATGTGCTCCTGATTGTGTGAACCTAATTCTACTTCCTTACAACAATTAGAATGACAGTAATTCCACAATAGTTGATGAACTCCCTAGATTTGGACAGATTCAGAAATGAGAGTAGGATTTGGCTTGTGCCTTGAACAAATTCAGACAGCAAAGCACAAGACTGTAAGCTATCCCTTTAGAAACATATATATATATATATATATATATCTATCTCCTTATACAGGAATTCCTGCAGACAATTCTTAATATTGCAGAACCATATCTAACTGCAGTACTGTTTCTTCCGTTTGTACATACAAATCTGTAGGAGACCAGTGCTGTGACACTTTCAGCTCTGATATCTGGAGATGAACATTTCAATTTAATTAAATAATTTTCAATAGAATTAAAATAATAATCAGCTGATCACTTTTTACCTGTGAAAATTAGCAAAGAATAATTTGATTACACTTAGGCACAGAACTCATCAGCATAGCATGTGCATGTTTTCATCAGGGATAGCAACGATATTCATGACCAGAGGGGTATAAGCCAAGTATCCCTCCCTTGTTTGGGCAGGCATGTCAGAACAATTTTCCAAGTAGAAGAGCACAGGAAGAAAACCTTTATTGTAATTTTTTTTTTTTTTTTTCACTTCAGGTAGGAGAAACCCAATCCTTTTTACATGCTTATTACTCAAAGATAAATTCTTTAAAGATGCATAAATAATTGCTGTCCTGCTTCCAAAGAGAGCACAGCAACCATTTCACAAATCGTAGCTGTGGTGCACCTGCCACCTTTTTTGGTCCTAAACCACATTTTTTAATCAGTCTTTTGTATCAATAACAGTAAAGTCCAAAAGGAACACTATGCAGAACACTGAAGTGCTCAACGTAATGCTTTCTCCAATCTATTTTCTGGTGGTAAAAGGTTATGAACTCAAAAAGGAAACAAAGCACTGTTCTGGCAAATTATAAGACCACAGTATGGTATTTTCCAGCCCTGAATTAGTGCCACAGACATAGTGATGTATGCAGAGGAGACTGCCAGCGTTTTGTATATCTGCATTTGCAAGTATGCGCTGTAACTGAAGCACAAGAGAGAGGGGGAGAGAGAGCCAAAGGCAGTAGTATTACTGTTTCAATCTCTAGTTCTCATTTGCAAACGTAGAAGAGAGAGATTCAAAGCAAGAATTAACAAAGACTCTTAGAGAAAGTGAATATAAAAGCTAAAAAATCTGATAACTTTGCTGTGTCTGAAGGGTCTGTGTTTAGAAAGTCTCAGTTTTTAATCTGAGAGTTGATTCAGATTATTTTGTCCCATATAATGACAAAAGGTTGCATTTTTAAAGGAGATTAAGTGATTTACAAACCTAAATCCCATTGAAAATCAATAGGACTTAGGCTATTGAATCACTTAGCTACTTTAAAGTATTTATCCATTAAATCCTTAGGCAGGATTACAAGCAGGTGCCTAGGAAGCAGATACAAACGTTTACTTTATCACCAAAAGGTCGTATCTTGTTTTCACTGCCCATCAAATACCTTTTCCCATCTTCCATGGTCCTTGTTGCATCATCAGCTGCTCTCTCGTCTTTCCAGCTGTAACCACTCAGAAATGTTAAGAATTATCCCTGACCTCCACCTTTCCCCACAGTACTGCACACAATTACACTGGCATCTATTCCCTCTAGTTGCTAACGTCAATATTTTTGTCCCCGTTCTCTGTGGGCACAGCACACACTTGTCTCAAATGAATTAGCTTGCCTTGCTTGTTCCCCACACATACAGTCAACTATTTTGTCTTCCCAATGCACCTGGTGCTCACTTAATAACTCTTACAATCACGTTATTTGAAAAAGGACTGTTCTTTTTATCTCTTGAGGGACTTTGTTCATTACCTAATTTCCTATTTATTTTCTGAGTCCTCAATATTTTGTTTCATTCTACAGGTCTTCTTCAGAATTTTGTCTTTTTTACCACAATTTTTTAAATTCAAAATTTCCTTTTTTGTCTCCTGTTAAATACACTTTCTATGATGTCTTTTTTTGTCTATTTATTCTCCTTATTTTGCTTTTCGAATATTCAATACTCAAGACATTCACAAACATCTGATACACTATTTTTATCGCTGATCTAACTGTATTTTTTTGCCATTTATAATTCCTTCAATTAAATGTATTACCTTAAAAAAATGACAATGCAATGTAGTTCCCACTTCAAATACAAGGCAACTAAATTCTAACCAGTATTGCCTATTACACAGTTCTTTTACACTTTGCAAAATGATGTGCTGCTCTCTGTGCTCATATCTCATAGGCAGCGTTGATATTTACTCATTCACTAGGGCACTGGCGAGCATCCTTTACCAGACGTGTTAGGGCTTGTTCGAGAAGTAAACACTCCCAGCTGTTTGCTGCCTTTTCCTTCACCTTGAGGTTACTGCCCTTTCTGCAGAGTTGAAAAACTGAGCCAGTACACACAACTCATCACTACAGGCCAAAATCAGAGGATTTTTCGTCTCAGGCAGATTAAAATAAGACCTCCCCAGCGCTCTGTGGGGCTGTAGGAGTCGGCAGCTGAAGGGAGCCAATTCCTGCAGTCATTTCTAAAGTGAACATGAGTCAAAACCTCATGTCAGTTGTTTCTGACACTGAAAATACATTATTTTAGTTCCAGTTTCAGTATCACTTTTAATAGCTTTTTAGGGGCATGCTTGGTTTTTTTTTTTTTTTTTTTTTTTTTTTTTTTTTAGAGTGAAGCACCTCAACATGTATTCTGTGTTCAAACCCTGCCACGCTGTTGGCTCTGCAAGAGAAGAGGCTTGGCGGTGTCCTGCTCATCAGCATCCCGCGCTCTCCTCTCCGCACCGACCCAACTGTCTGGCACTGCCGGCGCGGTCCTGCGGCCTCGGCTCTGCGCAGGCGCGGCATGGATGGCTTCAGCCGACAGGCTGAGGCGGTGACAACTTTCATAAACAGCAATCGTAATTCACTACAATGTTCATCGACATAAACAGGTCTAATAACATAAGTGAGGGATGACTCCTTTGGGGCAATAGATGGACTAAAAAGATAAGAA